TAAGACCGCACAACCCCAGAAAGCTAAGGGTCCCCGGAAAGTAGCGGGAAAGCGAAAATTTAGTGAACCTGAGGATGTCCGGATTGGACGTGAGATGGCAAAAGCTGTGAAAAGGAGCCACAAGGCCATTTTTGGAGGGGGCGAAAGCAGTGCCCCGTGTGATAGCGAAGGGGTGAGTTGTTTCGGAAGCTAGGCTTTTTGTTTTGTCTCGTCTTCTTTTTACGTTTAAATCGTCTGTTGTCAAAAAAAATGTTGATTTGTCTTTATTTGAGTTTTGCTCACTGATTCGTTATTGATGGTCTTAGTACTAAAGGGCTTGCTGTGCTTGTACAGGGCGAATCTTTGCCACAGCCCACAGGATATATGGCTCCGAAGAGGCCTTCGGCTGCTACCACTGTGGCCTTAGATGATGATTTATCCATCATCGAGCCCCCGACTTTGCGAGGGGGCCCTTCGAAGAAAAAGCAACTGCGCGCCGGATGCGGCTGTTCGAGATGACGGAGCGAAACGCTGGAAATTTCTGGCTTCGCGGAAATCATCAGAGAGGAAGGCTACCGACGCCGGTAACGGTAAGGAGAAAGAGGCAACCGCATTGACTACCGAAAAGCCTAAAGATATTGGCAAAGTTAAGAGCCAGTTTTACCGAGAATCCATTCACGTAACTCAAGATATGGTGGAAGGCCAACTATTGGGTTACGGACGTTTGCTTCTTGAGTCGAAACTGGGTGATTACGGTGAGCCCCGCTTCTACTCGGGGTCCAGCTCTTCAGAGGAAATGGATCCTGAGAAGGAGGAGTCTTACCGAATTGCTCGTTCTCTAAGGGTTTCGTCGGACGCGCAACTAGCTAGCATGCGGGTTTAAGTTTTGGGAGATTGGGCTTCTTCCCGGCGATAGTCCTGCGACGTCGAGGTTTGCCGAGTTTTGTAATAAGTTTGCTGCTCCTGAAGTTGAAAGGGACCTCCTAGGTGTTGAGGACGCCGCGTTGGTGGTGCCTGTTCTTTGTTTTCGCGCTACTACTGCTTATTATTTTTGCCTGCTTCATTTCTTTTGAGGAAGGACTGATTCTTTGCTCTCTTATTATCGCCAAAGCTTGGTGCTAAACCGAAGCCTTCATCATCAAAGCCAGTTGTACCGCCGCAAGAGTGAGGAGGACAACGTGGTGAAAGGCCGCCGCATTCAGGAGGTAGAGAAAGAAGTAGAAGCTTTGAAGAAAAGGAAGGATGACGAGAGGGCTTCCGAGAAAACAGCGGAAGCCTCCTGCAATAAACTAAAAAAACTTGCCGAAGTGCACAGGGGCAAGATTAACGAGGCTTCTTCGTTCAACGCGGCGACGGTCGAAATTATGGGCCGGTATCACGTGTGCTTGTGTAGCGTGGGGCCGATACAGAGCTTCCGGCTGATTGCAATGCCGCGTCCTTCATGGAATGGTTGCGCGGCGAAGTCTCTGCCCTGGAAGGTCGTATGACTTTAGGGAGAGATTTCGCCGCTACTACCGCCTTTAAGGCCATGTGCACTGGCCGCCTCTTGGACGCTGGCTGTGACCATATGGAGCACTTAAGCGTCCAAAATGTTGATCATTACTGGCGAGCGCCCGCTGAGGCGAATGCTATCGGGAAGAAGTTCTTTGATGAAATTTGGCTCGCCGGGGGATGTTTTCCTTTTGATTGGCATTTTCTGTTATAATCTGCTTGCTTTTCGTCTAGTCTTTAAGGTGATTGCTGCTATTTTTAACCTGTTTTTGCTATTTTCGCATGACACAGTGACCGCTGAGAAACAAGCCATACGCCTCAAACAGTGAGGGCTTCCTTACATCTAAAACAAATAAAACATTTAGAACATATGTTTGCAACATATGTATGCAGCCACTGCAACATATACAACATTCAGATAAAACAATTACAACATATGTCTAAAACAACTGAAATATTTAAAACACACACTTACAACATGCTTTTAAAACTTAAAAAAACACCTGAAAACATTTGCAAACATACGCAACGTCTAGATAAAACACATGTATCATATGTGTGAAACTGGAACATATGCAACATTCAGATAAACACACTTGCAATATACGTCCCAAGACACAGATGAAACATTGTTAACAAACCTTTGCAACATACGTGTACAACCATTGCAACATATGCAACATCTCGATCTACTTTTGTAACATCCATCTGAAACAATTGCAATATACCTCTGAAACACTTAAAACATACACTTGCAACATGCGCTTTCGACGAGCGGAGCACTGCACAGCAGGATCCGGCTGTATGGTCGTGGTGGAGAAGAAGGATGACAGCGGGCAGGTGGTTCTGCGGCCCCGGTGAGCGGCGGCGTTGCCCCTGGTGATAGGGGCGCACGTGGTGCCCCCGGCGAGCGGTGCCCACGATGGAGCCGACAACAGTAGTCGGGTGGGTGCGATCTCGCACGGTGAGGTGGCAGTAGCTGTACGGTCTGGGGGGAGCACGGCACGACAGTGCGAGCGCAGCGGTGGTGGAGAGAAAGACCGGTGGGAGACGTAGTGGAGAGGAAGGCGTGCAGGAGGCTGGCCGAGCGCGGTCACGAAGAACAGTCATGGTGATGTGTGTTTTTTTTTTTAATCTGCGGTGATTGCCGAAGAGCGGAGAGAACAGATAAGAACGGATATGATAGATAACATTCTGAACGTCGGTCGACCAATAGGACCGTTCGGCGCGAAGCCGCGGATGGACTTACGATTCACAGCAACTTCTATCGCCTCCAGACATTTGAATGCATGCATGCAGCAGGGTTCCTTACCTCCGACGCCTTCGATCTCCTATTCTTCCTCCGTAGTTCTATTTTCAAGTAGAAAATTACACCATCCTTGAGTTCGTCTTAGTTATCTTAGGCACTGTAGTAACAGTATGCTCATAATTATCTCTTTTTATCTAAACAGGTATAGATAATAGATTAGATAATTGTTAGCTAGATACGTAGATAATAATTATCTCACTAGTTGAATCAAACAAATATATAATAACCGCTAATAGGTGCACCAACAACCCAATCTTATCAATTAGATGTGTATGCAACCCAATCTTATCAATTAGATGTGTATCCAAACACCCTCCTAGCTAGCTAATATTAGCTATGTGCTATTAGCTAGATAACTACTACTACCTCCGTCTACAAAAGAATGTAATTCTCGGATTTCGAGGAGTCAAACATTCTAAACTTTGACTAAATTTATATAAAAAATTACAAATATTTTTTATACAAAATAAGTATCATTAAATTAGTTATAAAATATATTTTCATAATAAATTTATTTAGAGACATAAATGCTAATATTGTTTACTATAAATTTGGTCAAACTTGAGCTTAGGCCCTGTTTGGTTTCCATAAGTCAGGTGACTTATTAAGTCAGGTGACTGAAAACCAGTGACTTATAAGTCATGCATGTTTGGTTGTAGATGACTTATAAGCTCATTAAAGGTGTGGGCCCCATGCGAAAAAGGGTGACTTATAAGTTTTAAGCAGGGGTGAACCAACTTAAAACTTATAAGCAAGGGTGACTTATAAGTTGGTGGTGTTTGGTAAAATAAGTCACTTTTTTCACTTTTTAACTTATAAGTAGGTAACTTATTTGGAACCAAACAGGCCCTTAATTGACGAACACGAATAACATAATTGTATTCTTTTGTGGACGGATGGAGTATCAGCTAGTGGATCCAAACAGGGCCAGTGTTGCGCTACCGAGAAGCTGAAAAATACTCATGATGTTAACTAGCTAGAATTTTTTTTTGTAGTTTCAGATTTACCTTAGGAATAGGATATATTAATAGATAATAGCGGAAGAAATCAAGAGTCGCAATTCTCATATTGGGTGAAGCGAACATATTTTCACAGATATTTACAGGTAATAATCTAATAGAATTAACATTAAAACAGAATCTGCACTCCCATGATTCCATCGCATTGATATGTTTACTACTACCATACCAATACAGCAACTCACAGGCGAGCAGGAAGCAAAGCAATAAGCAGGCGGTTTGATGACACGGCACAAAAGGCAACGACATCAGGAAGGCAGCAGACTTTGTCCAAGCGTTAGATGCATTTAGCAGCTACTAACCAATGAAGCTACCTGCAGCTTAGCACAGGTATATATAGCCTCACCATAGAAATGTTGTTGATAGCATGAGAACCACATATAGGGACTAGGGACTCACCCGCAGTACACAAGCAGTGGCGCAGTGGCGGAGGCAGGAATAATTTTGAGGTGTGGCAAAATCATAAAGATCAATTTGCTAAACATGTATAACGTAACTATGCGTGAGCTCACTAGAACATTATATAAATATATACATTACTTTGTGATCAGCAAATAAAACGAAAATCCGAAACTAAAGAATTGGCACTTAAAATACCTTACTAAATAAAGATAACATGATTGATGACCAATTTATCACTCCGTCAAGCCCAGCCACTAGATCCAGCCATACAGCAGCCATGTATTGGTGTATTTTACATATATACATAATATACTAATCTTTTGTACAAATTTTTGGTATGGCAAGCCAAACCTTGCCACATAGCTGCCTCCGCCCATATACACAAGCCAACCTTTCTCATGCGTTATAACAAAATGTATAACTTGTGTGATCACCTAGACGGACTCGTGGCTCAAAGATTTATATAAAGATCGCGCTGTCATCTATTTTAGTACGTCTTTGAATCGAACTCCACACCATGGCTAAACGTGCATTGTTCGAAATATGGTCTCATATTGGATTTTGATTGAAAACATATAGACGGCAAGAGTGAGATGCAGACCGCGGAGAGTGAAATGCACAAATGGGTTGGCGAATGAAAAAAATGGAGAAGAGAAATTTTCTCCTTTTAATATTAGACATATAGATAAATAAAGATATATAGATAATGTAAATAGATATGTTTGGAAAAAATCATACTATGTATTTGTTTGTGGTAAGCAACGCGTGCACGGTGCACCATCACCCACACCATAGTTAAGTTACTCTAGGTTGAATTTGTCTGCTCCGCGCCTAGCAAGTAGCAAGTGAACGATATCCGTTGAGGCGATCAGCTTCCCCTCCACCTGCTTGTTTGTTTGCTCCATGGCCGACTCGACCCCCTGCATGTACAAGAGGCTCTGGCACTTCTCCGGGTACCAGTGGAGGGTGCTCGAGGCTCGGGCGGCAGCGTCGTAGCTCGCCGCGTTCACCAGGGCTATCGTCGTCGTCGTGGCGCGGAGGCACTCCGAGTACAGAGCGCGGCACTGCTCCAGGCGGTCGCGCTCCAGCGGCGTCCGAACCCGGGATTCCAGGACCGTGGTGCGCCACACGGCGTCCCGCGTGGAGTTCCTGGCGACCGTCAGCGCGACGACGGCGAGCTCCTGGACGGACTGGGCGGCGTCGCTCCGTCTGTCCGGCGCGAGGGTGGAGATGCAGAGGCGCTCGTGCGCCGTCTTGCGGCAGGTCAGCGAGACAAGGGACACGCCGGCGGACGAGAGCGGGAGGAAGGAGGCCGCGACGGCGGCGCACAGTAGCGCCACCGCCAAGATGTTCTTGAGGCTTGCTAGTGATGCCGCCCTGCTCGTTGCCATCGCCATTGGCATTGCCATGTTCGTATTGGAAGGTTGGAGACTTGTTCGTGTGCAAAATTGCAAATGCTGCGTATGTTTCTACCTGTTATATACAGCAGCTAGGATGGGAGTTGGTTACTGCAGCATTCATTATCATTGATCACTATTTATGGGTGCTGCTAAACTGAAATGGGTTTTAATTTCTCGAGAATGTCAGTTAACGTTAACGCACGCCAGAACTAATAGAGGGAAAATTCATTGGCATTACTAACGTTACATCACATTATTTTTGACTTCATGCACCTAGTTGCTTAATGCTAGCTTATTGTTGATGCATGGCATATGAAGATGACTAACAACCTAGCAGCAGACTGTGATCAGTTTTTGCCGGTGATGACATCCCTGAACCAGTATGCTGAACTCTTGGGGTACCGCCGGAGTGTCTTGAAATCGACGTAGACCAGGCCGAACCTGGACGTGTAACCCAGCTTCCACTCGAAGTTGTCCAGCAGGGACCAGGCGAAGTAGCCCACGCAGTTGGCGCCGCCGTCGATCGCCTCCTTCAGCTTGCTGATGTAGCTCCGGTAGTAGGCAACCCTCGTCGCGTCGTGCACGCCCTGGGCGACGGTGACGTTGCCTGGGTCATCCATGCCTGTCGTCGGATCCACTCACGGTTTTGGTCATCTTATACTTGTTGTGGCGAGGCAAGGCAAGGCAAGCAGGTCAAGGAGCTTTACCGTTTTCAGACAGAAACATTGTGGGGTTGCCATACTTCTCCTTGACGTAAGTGACAGCTTTATACGGTCCCCAAGGCACGATGTAAAGCCAATCTGAATTTGCCTGCAGTGGAGCTTAATTAGTTGATTCAGAAAAGAATACGGTTATAGGATTACCTAGTATAACTCAAACACAAATGATCAATACCCTTGGTCCGATTGGCACACCGTTGCGTTCATCTGCAGCACGAATAGATGCAGAGAATTAGGAAAGTTCTTAGATTAAAACACACATTACTCCTTTCAAAACAGGTCATCAAAGTGTTGCCGCTTTCACTTTATTTTTGCAGCACTCAGGCACTTCGATGTCAATGGAGGTAAGCAGACTTACAAACAAATTCAGCATGCCAATCAGAGGAGTAGCTAAGCAGAGTTGTTGCATTTGGCTGTTGATCACGAACATAATAAGCAGTATACTGGTTGACTCCAGCGTAGTCGATGGAGCCTTTGACTATGTTGACCTCATCAACTGTGAACTTTGGAAGCCTTTCCTTCACGATCTCTTGAACCGATTTGGGATATTCACCGTATATGATTGGGTGCAGAAACCTGAAACATTTTTAAGGTCCTGATGTTCAGAGGTGATACAAGGGGATCTGGATCCTCTATGACAATGAGTTGAAACATGATGAGCACGAAACTGAATGTTTGGGATGGAGGCAAACAAAAAGTTTAACATCTCTGGTTTAACATGTTTGAAGTAAGATTCTAGTCCCAAACGGATGAAGTGAAATTACCATCCTACATGGAAGTCTCTTGATCTTTCAGCCGCAGCTTGGTCAGCTGTTGAATTTGTGAGAGCCTCATACCAGACAAAGTCCAGAAGAATTCCAATCCTTCCCTTTTGTGTAAGCTGAATGGAAGTTTGTGTGCAAAGAAAATTTAGAAACAGTTCTAAATGCTACTGGTTTTATGTCTCCATAATATTTAACACTCGTTAATAGTCTTTAACAAAAAGATAGTACAAGTTACCATGAAGAGCTTAAACAACCTTGCGTTACTGATATACACTAGTCCTTTTTTTATATTGATCACTCTGTCTTAGCACAGGCACTAGGCCAGGCTGCTTACAACTATTTTTACCTGATACTTTTGCCGGTATCTCTGAACTGCAGCAGCATGGGAAAGAATGAGGTGATGAGCAACGATGTAAGGCTCGGTAGCGGAGTTTCCAGCCTTGCATTTTGTGCACCTTCCCGGTGCGAATCTACCATCGTCATATCCTAGGGCAGCAACGACCCTTGGCTCGTTAAATGTCATCCAGTTCTTTACTCTGTCACCAAATGTCTTCAAGCAGAAATCGGCATAGTCTGCAAATGATTTCCTGCATGATTCGGTATGTTAATTAATTCGCAGGCATTACAATTTTTTTTCGTTCTTCCACATTTAATAAATCAAAAGTCAAACAGCTTACACCACTTTTCTGTTCAACAGCCCTCCATATTGGACCTCTAGTGCCTCTGGTAAGTCATAGTGATACAGATTTGCATAAGGTGTAATGCCTGTGAAGCAGAGTAAATTTGCCTGAAACTTGAAAAAGCTGTCAAACTTCAAAGTGAAAGAAAAGCATTTCTAGCACCATCATCTATCCATATACCTATCTTCAACATGTAGTTTATCAACCTGTTATAGTATGCCACTCCTTTCCAATTCACTTTTCCAGTTCCATCTACACTATATACAAAATTTCCCATCGCCACAAATTAGTTTATTAGCACCAGCAGTAGAGAACAAATCTAAATTAGGAAAAACATAGCTCCAGATGAGCAATAAGGGACAATACTTGGGAATATTCTTGACCAAGAGATTGAAAATCGGTAAGCATCAAACCCCATCTTTTTCATGATATTCACGTCCTCTTACATTAAGGAGAACGAATTTAGTTTGCTTTCAAATCTAGACGAGAAGTACTTTAGTTTTTAAAATATATGGAAAAAGCTTTAGCAATTGATGGCTACAATTTACTAACTTCTAAACTTGGAATTAGCATCCGAATAGGATAATCAAAACCCCTTGTGGAACTTTAGGAAAGCGAACGACTATACATTTCAGAAGTGCTAGCGTCCGGACGCCCATGCTACACTCCGTCTCCCGCAAGACCGCACTTCGCTCCACGCCAAAGACGCTCTCCGCAAATAAGTGCCCCGATGTCTCCCGACTGCTCGGATGTCGCCCGGCCAGAGACTACATACGGGGACCGCTTTCGTGCCTCCCCATATGCAACACTCGATCTACTTTTGAAACATCAAGATGCAACGTATGTCTGAAGACAGATGAAACATGCTTATGAAACACTTTGCAAAAGCACTTGGAAAACACTTGAAGAAACATTGCACAAAGATAGCAACATCCGGATAAAACACTTGCAAAGACATGTGTGAAAAACGTATGCAACATCCAGATAAACACTTGCAACATACGCCTGAAAAAATAAATGAAACATAAGGAACAAAAGCTTGCAACATACATGTACAACTATTGCAACATATGCAACATCTCGATATGCTTTTGTAACATCCGCATGAAACAATTACAACATACCTATGAAATATTTGAAATGTACACTTGTAACATGAGTTTTCAACGCAACATCTCTTTGCTGCTTAGGAGAAATAGAGGTCGTCGGCATTTGAAGTTCATCGTGTAGAGCTCGCCGGTGGCACGGAGCGACCGGCCAGGGGGGGCGCGATGCCGTCAAGCGCATCACAGCCACACTCTGCGCCCCGCCACAAGCCCCTTGAGGCGCCATGAGAACTAGATCCAGATCCGTGTGGGGGAGGGTACCCACCGCCACCACCATCGGTGGGAGAGGAGAGGCGGCTTGCTGCCACCGCCACCATTGAGGAGGAAGGGAGGGAATCACGGCAGAATCCATAGGCGAGGAGGAAGCGCCGCCGGGGAGAGGAGTGGGAGCACTGCCATCGGGGAGGAATGGCCACCACGGCCACCGTCAGAATGGGGCAGGGCGCCGCGGCCGCTGTCTGGGCAGGGAATGGCATATCGGCACCGTCGTGGCAGGCTGCGGCCTCTTGGCCTCGGTCGCGTGCGATGGAGAGAACCTTATACTTCCGTCTAGATAATGGCGACGGCAGGATAAGGTTAGAGACGCTATTGAATAGTTGGACTGGTGCCGCGGCTTATGAACACTACCGTCCAGACGATTGGACACCCTGGCAAGAGAATTTCCGTATACATTTTGATCGTCTTCATGGCCATGCATGGGAGTGGCAGTAGTGGAATGAGGTCTCTTCAGTCACGTGAGACGCTTATCCCTCTGTGGTGGGCAACAGGCCAACAGCTAACAGGAATGTCCTTGCCCGCATCATATTAGTTAATTCCTTTTTAATTATTAGTTGTTGGAAATTGACATGTGAAAGACACGGCAGATGAATACTTATATTGTTTGGTTCGTGGAATGAAATATGTTGATGCATTGTCACCTTATTCCTCACAAACTAATAATTAGTACTCATGATGCACCACTTCATCTAGGATAGAATGACTCCTCGAACCAAACACCATATAAGTCTCCATCTTCCATGCACGGGAGTCTCTGTAATAGTGCACTAAAGAATAATGCTATTGATTTTAGGAATAAATAATCATAAAAATACGAGCACTTATGTTTGCGTCAAATCGATAATTAAACTTAGGTGGGCAAGAACCTAACTTGGGGCTCGGCTCTTGCTCCTGCGGAGGATCCCTGCCAAATGATTTCGTGGAGGAGACGTTTTTAGTAAAAAGCTGAGGAGCCGGAGCCGTTTTGAAGCCTCTAAAACGGTTCTGGTGGAGGAGCCCCCTTAAGTGGAGCCGTGCTAAACAGCCCCTTAATACCTAACATTTGTTCAGGTTAGAGCCTTAGAGGTGACATAAATTTGGATGCTTCGTGACTTCCTAAATTATAGCTTTGCATGTGTTGCTTTTTAATCAAGCCATTATGCATATATGTAACGCGCACACCAAAGAATCTATAGTTTTTCTCTTGTTAGTACACTCAATATATAAAATTTCATGGTTGGATTTGTTAAATTCTGTAATTTGATTTTAAGTTTCACATACTAAAAACGTCATATTTGAATTATAGGTCTAAATAAAAAAAGAAATATAGAAAAGTCGACTGAAACGAAAGCATAAAAAAAATCATAGTTTGTTGTCACCTTGTAGCGATGGTACTCGTCAACAGTGACGTCCGCGGTGGCATTGTTTGAGATCTCGCCTGAAAGCCGGCCAGCATTGCGATGATTGAATCATGCCATGACAAACCAATTGAATCAACGATTGATGCCTTTTTAATCTATAATAAATAATCCATACGAGCGTTTCAGTAAATAATTCGATTAGTCAGCGCCAATGGAATTATGCTCACCGGGGATCTTGATGAAGGCGTCCCATATGCTTGGCCCGCGGCCGTCCTTGTGCGCCATGCCCTCAACCTGGTAGGCCGACGCCGCCGTCCCGAACACGAACCCCTTGGGAAAGCTCCGCCGGCTCAGCCCGCCCGTCCATGCCGCTGCCGCCGCAACCTTCTCCCCTGCCCCTGCCTCGCCGTCGTCGGATGCTCGGGCGCCGACGGAAGAAAGCAGAAGAAGCAGCGCGAGCATGGAACGTCGCCCGCCGCCGCCGATACGACCACCACGACCACGACTAGCATCAGCCATGATTCTGCGCTCCGCTGAGAACCCTGCGACGCGCGGCCAGTGCCGGTGCGGTGGTGCTGGCCAAAGATAAGGAGACAGACAGGGGACGAGTGTGAGTGTGACCGTGCGTGGTATATGGAAGCTCAACCGTACGTATTCGGCACCCGGTATTCCGGTGGCATGTCGAGGAAGGAGAAGCTTGTCGGCATCCGGCGAAATGGTTGAGCTGAGCGTCAGGGTCAGAGGGGATGGTGACAGCCTGACAGGCTTGCCAGCTAGAGGCAAAATGCACGGCGAGAGTGACGACGGCAGAGGAAAATGCCACGGCAAAGCAACAATGGTCGCCCCATGCGGCGGCCCGTCACGGATTTTATTTTTATTTTTATCTTCAATCAATATTTTAATAATGACCACTTCATTTTTTTTTGCAGATTCTAACCCTTTGTTTGACACTATGGCCCCGTTCGCTTCGCGAAAAAACAAGCCGAAATACTGTTCCGACTGATTTGTTGTGAGAGAAAAAAACACTATTCCGGCTAAAAAAACAAGCTGAAAAATACGGATTATAAAACAAACGAACATGGCCAATGGCCGCGCCACATGTACTAGGACGGAGGCCGCCACGGTGACGTGGACTGACACCTCTCCCTACGTTCGTTCTTATGTTCCTACTGTTAGTAGCACTAGATACCTTGAGTTTGCCTTGGCGATTTCTTGCCTCGACCTTGCGGGTGCGCAGCTTCCTTTTGTTACTCGATATTTTTGCATGCATGGTGAAAATTGCACTGGCATATTTTGGCAGGTAATTATTCTCGTATTAATGGTGATTGCTCTCATTGCTCTTGTCGACTAACGGCAGGTCAATCACGTTAATGTTGTGATTGCGTGGCAAATTACTTACCTTACCTGCGACGCGACGTGTGAATATATTGGGACGAGGGGTCGTCCTCATCACAGAGAATTCATCTCTTCCCTTTGCCACTATGCTGCGCTACCGTCGTCTTCCCCATCCCGTCGTCGACGTGACATCGGCACCGAGAGAGCAGGTCTCCGAAGCCTACGTCTCCTCATGTCCCTGCACGGGGTAGGAGGCATATAAGATTTTTGGGAAGCGTCGTCGCGACTGCTCGTTGAACCTCTTCTTCCCTCTACGGTGCCGGTGTTCGCGAATCTCTGCCAACAACCCCACTGTAATAATGTCTATCATTTCTCTTTTGTTCGTTCTTATGTTCCTACTGTTACTAGCACTAGATACCTTGAGTTTGCCTCGGCGATTTCTTGCCTCGACCTTGCGGCTGCGCAGCTTCCTTTTGTTACTCGATATTTTTGCATGCATGGAGAAAATTGCGCTGGCATATTTTGGCAGGTAATTATTCTCGTATTAATGGTGATTGCTCTCATTGCTCTTGTCAACTAACGACAGGTCAATCACGTTAATGTTGTGATTGCGTGGCTAATTACTTACCTTAGTTGCGACGCGACGCGTGTATATATTAGGACGAGACGTCGTCCTCAGTACAGAGAATTCATCTGTTCCCTTTGCCACTGTGCTGTGCTACCGTCGTCTTCCCCATCCTGTCGCCGGCGTGACATCGGCACTAGGAAAGCAGGTATCCGAAGCCTATGTCTCCTCATGTCCCTGCACGGGGTAGGAGGCATATAAGATTTTTGGGAAGTGCCGTCGCGACTGCTCGCTGAACCTCTTTTTACCTCTACGGTGCCGGTGTTCGCGAATCTCTGCCAACAACCCCACTGTAATAATATCTATCCTTTCTCTTTTGTTCGTTCTTATGTTCCTACTGTTACTAGCACTAGATACCTTGAGTTTGCCTCGACGATTTCTTGCCTCGACCTTGCGGGTGCGCAGCTTCCCTTTGTTACTCGATATTTTTGCATGCATGGAGAAAATTGCGCTGGCATATTTGGTCAGGTAATTATTATCGCATTAATGGTGATTGCTCTCATTGTCTAGTCGACTAACGGCAGCTCAATCACGTTAATGTTGTGATTGCGTGGCTAATTACTTACCTTAGCTACGACGCGACGTATGTATATATTAGGACAAGACGTTGTCCCCAGTACAGAGAATTCATCTCTTCCCTTTGCCACTGTGCTGCGCTACCGTCGTCTTCCCTATCCCATCGTCGACATGACATCGGCACCGAGAGAGCTTGTCTCCGAAGCCTACGTCTCCTCGTGTCCCTGCACGGGGTAGAAGGCATATAAGATTTTTGGGAAGCGTCGTCGCGATCGTCATTGAACCTCTTCTTCCCTCTACGGTGCCGGTGTTCGCGAATCTCTGCCAACAACCCCAATCGTAATAATGTCTATCCTTTCTCTTTGTTCGCTTTTATGTTCCTACTATTACTAGCACCGAGATACCTTGAGTTTGCTTCACATGCGTTTTCTTGCCTCGACCTTGCGGGTGCGTAGCTTCCTTTGTTACTCGATATTTTTTGCATGCATGGTGAAAATTGCACCGGCATATTTTGGCGTGTAATTATTCTCGTATTAATGGTGATTGCTCTCATTGCTCTTGTCGACTAACGGCAGGTCAATCACGTTAATGTTGTGATTGCGTGGCAAATTACTTACCTTACCTGCGACGCGACGTGTGAATATATTGGGACGAGGGTCGCCCTCATCACAGAGAATTCATCTCTTCCTTTTGCCACTATGTCTTTGCTACTGTCGTCTTCCCCATCCCGTCGTCCGACGTGACATCGGCACCGAGAGAGCAGGTCTCCGGCTTCACGCTCCTCATGTCCCCGCACGGGTAGGAGGCATATAAGATTTTTGGGAAGCGTCGTCGCATCGCTTCGTTGAACCTCTTCTTCCCTCTCGGTGCGGTGTTCGCGAATCTCCGCCAACAACCCCACCGTAATAATGTCTATCATTTCTCTTTTGTTCGTTTCTTATGTTCCTACCATTACTAGCACTAGATACCTTGAGTTTGCTCGGCGATTTCTTGCCTCGACCTTGCGGGGCTTGCAGCTTCCTTTTGTTACTCGATATTTTTGCATGCATGGAGAAAATTGCGTACCGCATATTTTGGCGGTAATTATTCTCGTATTAATGGTGATTGCTCTCATTGCTCTTGTCAACTAACGACAGTGTCAATCACGTTAATGTTGTGATTAAGTGGCTAATTACTTACCTTAGTTGCGACGCCGACGCTGTATATATTAGGACGAGACGTCGTCCTCAGTACAGAGAATTCATCTGTTCCCTTTGCCACTGTGCTGTGCTACCGTCGTCTTCCCCATCCTGTCGCCGGCGTGACATCGGCACTAGGAAAGCAGGTATCCGAAGCCTATGTCTCCTCATGTCCCTGCACGGGGTAGGAGGCATATAAGATTTTTGGGAAGTGCTGTCGTCGATCGTCATTAACCTCTTTTTACCTCTACGGTGCCGGTGTTCGCGAATCTCTGCCAACAACCCCACTGTAATAATATCTATCCTTTCTCTTTTGTTCGTTCTTATGTTCCTCATTACTAGCACTAGATACCTTGAGTTTGCCTCGACGATTTCTTGCTTGCCTCTTGCGGGCGCGCAGCTTCCCTTTGTTACTCGATATTTTTGCATGCATGGAGAAAATTGCGCTGGCATATTTGGTCAGGTAATTATTATCGCATTAATGGTGATTGCTCTCATTGTCTAGTCGACTAACGGCAGCTCAATCACGTTAATGTTGTGATTGCGTGGCTAATTACTTACCTTAGCTACGACGCGACGTATGTATATATTAGGACAAGACGTTGTCCCCAGTACAGAGAATTCATCTCTTCCCTTTGCCACTGTGCTGCGCTACCGTCGTCTTCCCTATCCCATCGTCGACATGACATCGGCACCGAGAGAGCTTGTCTCCGAAGCCTACGTCTCCTCGTGTCCCTGCACGGGGTAGAAGGCATATAAGATTTTTGGGAAGCGTCGTCGCGACTGCTCGCTGAACCTCTTCTTCCCTCTACGGTGCCGGTGTTCGCGAATCTCTGCCAACAACCCCACTGTAATAATGTCTATCCTTTCTCTTTTGTTCGTTTTTATGTTCCTACTATTACTAGCACCAGATACCTTGAGTTTGCTTCGGCGATTTCTTGCCTCGACCTTGCGGGTGCGTAGCTTCCTTTTGTTACTCGATATTTTTGCATGCATGGTGAAAATTGCACTGGCATATTTTGGCAGGTAATTATTCTCGTATTAATGGTGATTGCTCTCATTGCTCTTGTCGACTAACGGCAGGTCAATCACGTTAATGATGTGATTGCGTGGCAAATTACTTACCTTACCTGCGACGTGACGCGTGAATATGTTGGGACGAGGTGTCGTCCTCGGTACAGAGAATTCATCTCTTCCCTTTGCCACTGTGCTATGCTACCGTCGTCTTCCCCATCCCGTCGTCGATGTGACATCGGCACCGAGAGAGCAGTCTCCGGTTTCGTCGCCTCCTCGTGTCCCCTCGCAGGGGTAGGAGGCAGATAAGATTTTTGGGAAGCGTCGTCGCGACTGCTCGCTGAACCTCTTCTTCCCTCTATGGTGCCAGTGTTCGTGAATCTCTGCCAACAACCCCACTGTAATAATGTCTATCCTTTCTCATTTGTCCGTTCTTATGTTCCTACTGTTACTAGCACTAGATACCTTGAGTTTACCTCGGCTATTTCTTGCCTCGACCTTGCGGGTGCGGAGCTTCCTTTTGTTACTCGATATTTTTGCATGCATGGAGAAAATTGTGTTGGCATATTTTGGCAGGTAATTATTCTCGCATTAATGGTGATTGTTCTCATTGCTCTAGTCGACTAACGGTAGGTCAATCACATTAATGTTGTGATTGTGTGGCTAATTACTTACCTTAGCTGCGACGCGACGCGTGTATACATTGGGAAGAGATGTCGTCCTCAGTACAGAGAATTCATCTCTTCCCTTTGCCATTGTGCTGCGCTACCGTCGTCTTCCCCATCCCATCGCCGATGTGACATCGGCACAAGGAGAGCAGGTCTCCGAAGCCTACGTCTCCTTGTGTCCCT